GGACAATAACGTTCTTAGTTCATATGCAGAAACACCAACAAAAAACTGACAATGTCCACAAAAGCTCACATTAAAATATAATAGTTCGTCTTGAGATGCCACATATCTTTGTTTTCTTCTAAAACTACAGCAAAAACTGTGTTCTTTGAAGGCAAGGTTTATTAAAGTGATCTACATATTTGGGAGAGAGGAAATTGTGGGGTCTCATATCACTATGACTAAAAGCAAGGGGAAGAGGTATGGTCAGGTCAAGGCTAAGAGGATCAGCCTATGGGTGGAGGAGCAACAGAACATGAAGTACAAAGAGGAAAGACACCAGGGAATGCTAGCTGTCACTCTCTACCTCTCTTACTCTTACAGACAGTCACTTGGGCCAGGTATGGTGGCACCTTTCACTTCTAACTGGGGGTGTGAAAATCTCTCTGTCCTGATTATGGTATGTATCTCCAAAACCCATTTGTATTTTCTTTGACAACCTGTTCTGTATCAGGTTGCAAGATCTGTTTTTTCCTTCCCACTTTGAAATTCATAACATATGCATAACCATTTTATTTATGTATCTGTGCACATATGTTATGCATTTTACCCAATGCTGTACATCTGTTTTCCCCATCAACTAAAATGTGCTTGTATGTACTTTTTCTCAACTGTAGGCACTTTATCTTTTAACCTTTTCAACTGTGTGCTTGCTAGAAGCTGGGTACAGTGCACTTGATTTCTCTGAAACAGAATGTGAAACATCTCAAATGTGAAAAATGTTAAGGCAAGACGTTTATTCTTAAAACAGGTCTAGAAAGGTGCAAAAAAGGCTACTTTTGTTGAGACTGTTGAACAAAATTCTTTTTTACTTCTTACAGTGGGGTCTCTACTTAAGAACTTAATCTGTATTGGAAGGTGGTTCTCAAGTTGAAAAGTTCTTATGTTGAATCTGCATTTCCCATAGGAATGCATTGAAAACCATGTAATCCGTATCTGCTCTTTTCCGTCCATAGAAACTACAGTACAAACCCTATCAAACCAACAACCCATTTAAATTGTTGAAATGGGTAATATATTTTCAAAGGGGAGGGATTGTGGGAAGACCTATTCAGGCCTTAGAAATTCTACACAATTTTTGTTCTCCCTAATCCTCTTCCATCACTGAAGTTCTAGCATCCTATAATTTTCTCCAAAGTGAATCTTGTTCTTGGGCTCATGGGAATAAACTTAAACAATCTTCTTTCCATGCTGCTTAAATTTTTGGCCTTTCTTGAAATCATCTGGAAGAATAAAAACTGTGGGGCTTACCTATAACTAGATGCTGGACTCAGACCATAATGCATCTGCCATGCATTAAATGCTCTGTCACTGCTTGTGACCTAGAGGTGAAATGCTTTGTATCATATTACCAGTTCTGTATCTTTTATTTTGCTAAAGCATATGGAACAATTTTTAAACTTCAAGGAATGATTGTGCTTTGACTACAGATTCTGCATAGCTGCATTTACCACTTTAATAAAAATTAACAGAAGGCAACGCAGCTCTTATTTCTTCTGTCTTGAAACATTTATTACACAGTTTTAAAGGAATTCCACACACAATGATTTTATTTTTTAAAAGTATGTTCTTTTCATTCATATATAAGCCAAATAATTTGAAAAGCCTTGTCCCTATGGCATTTCACTTTCACAACGCTATATGTACTACATTCACTCCTGGTTTGTTCCCACTAAACAGCATTAAAGTGAGGATGATGTAGTGGTGTATATGTGGTTTTAAAAACAGAATACTTGACACAATTTCAAAGGCTGGAGTTGACTCTTGTTCAATACATTTTCCAATTTAAGACCACTTTCTTATACTCAAAAGTTACTGTGGAAAGTTTGTCCTGTTTGCTTTGTTTGCTTTGCCTTTTAAAGAAAAAATAGGCTGCATCTTATCGCAAAATCCTGTTATTAATGTAGTAAATCACACTAGAATAGGCCCATTGAATGGGCCTATACTACCTGCAACTTCCTAGGCTAAAGTAAGTCACAGATAGAGTACATTGCTTGATTCAATGGGCATCCTCTAGCGCAATTCACTACATTAAGCAACAGGATTTTTTTAACCAACATGATATAATGAGCGTCATTATAATTAATTACATTTTAAAATGCAAATAAAAGAATAATGCAAGCCACTTTAAAAAAACATATTGGTATCAAATTGGCTATGCTTTCTTTAATCAGTTTGGATATGAAGTTGCTTTATAACATCTGAATGGTTGCACGTCTAGACCAACATTGTCCATTCCAACGTCCAGGATTTAATGCCGTGAAACCATTTTTCTTCAAGGCAGCATAAGGACCTATAGTTGTCAAAGCAGAGGTTAGGCAACCCCAATTCTTTAAACCAGCGATCTCCAAACTTTTCAGCATGAGGGCCACATCATATATTTTACACATTCTTGAGGGCCGAAGGAATGCACGCACATGCATGTGTACACACACACACACACACACACACAGAGAGAGAGAGAGAGAGAGAGAGAGAGAGAGAGAGAGAGAGAGAGAGAGAGGCTGAAGGGAATGGACCTGAGCCTGTGGACCTGAGCCTGCGGCATTCATCAGGCCGGATTAAAAAGGCAAGGCGGGCCAGATGGCACGCGGGCCGTAGTTTGGAGACTCCTTCTTTAAACTAAAGATGTCAAGAATCTTTACATAAATAATGAACAAACATACTTTATTCAGTGGAGGAAAACATACACTTCCTTTTCCCATTCATTTTAGGTCTAGATAATTGAGTTGCCACATTGATTGTATTATTTCTACTCTGCATCGAATTAAGGGTATGTTTGACAGAAGTGGCCAGAAAGAGATAGAAAAAGCCTTGTTTTGTAGTTCTATTGAAGCACCTCTAGGTGGTACAGTTCAAAGGAACTGCCTAAAGTAGGCTTTTCCATCCTCAATTACTCATTTCCTCATCTTATCATTAAAAAAACAAACTCTTGACAACCGAAAGGTCTTATTTAAAAAGATAAGCTCTAAAAATAAATTAATAAATGGGAGCACTGCCCACAGAGGAGAATCTGTTAAAAAAAAGAGAGTGGGGGGCTTTACTGAGAAAATGGGTGCTAGCGCTGCTTGTATGTCTGCACACGCACATGTAGCTCATCTTCTCTCATGAGGGGTATAGATGCTGCAGCAAAGAACCTTTCTCTGTGTGTGTGTGCGTGCGCGTCTGCGCACACAAGTGATCACACATCTGGACTGATGTGAAAGGATCTGTTTTTTTAAAAGTAGAAGCTTGAGCAGCACAGGGGGAAAACTAAGGGTGGTGGGGGCTCCAGGCTTATTTGCATTTCCCTTTGTGTCATGTGATCAATGGACAAATGCAAATCAGCCAGCCCCAAACATGTAGTGTTTCCTGCATTTTGTATCAGTGTGGTGTCCTCCCTAAGTCTTCTACTGACTTCTTGGCTGCCATCTCCATTTGGATTGATGATTCAGCTGAAATGTACAAAAATCTTTAACAATTTGTTTCTTCATTGTCAACATTAAAGTCTTAAACCATATCCTTAATTTTTTCCCCCTCTTAGGACCATTAGAGCTCTATGCTATTTATTCTCCATTCTCCCTGTCATCAGCCCTTCACTGCATAGTAGTGTAGAGAGAACCAAAATGGCCATGGAAAAAGACTTACTAGCAGGGCTAAACAGAGACATAAGGAACAGCAAAATTAAAGAGGTGTACAAAGGGACAGAGATAAAAATATTGATATAGAAAATGACACAAAATTGAATTACACTATACAGAAAAACTTCATTGTAAGGAATGACTAGATTACCACAGTAGAAGAAAGTCCTCACAAAACCTGAATGCAATGGATTGTGTCTATTGTAGTTTTGCCCTGTCAGCTTTCTTCATTTCAAATTTCATTATCACCCTGCTTCATAATGAAAATTCCTTATTTTTGCCATTCCATTTGGAGGAACGTTAATTTTTACAGTGTTTACCACTCTCACTATGATGCCAACACAGAGACTTATTCTGAAAATGCTTTTTAGAAACGCCCCTATTTTTCCATATAAATTCAATGACTTTTTATGGATGACTTTTTCATACACAGCTATTTGCCACAGGTAGTTCCTCTGTCTATAGCTTTGTGTTGTGGATTTAGAGCTAGTCTTCTTACCAACAAATGTACACACAACAACTTTGATTACTTGATAAGCAGTGGCCAAACCCACTGATATTCCATGATGTAAACAACAGGCATCACTTCCAAGTAAATATTAAGGCAGCAGTCTTTCGTGCATGGTTCTGTAAGACTACTGAACACAGTGAGATTTATTACTAAGTAAATAGGCCAGTGGGATACCCAGTGTGGTGTAGTGTAGTGTAGTGAATAGAACTGATGGACTAGGACACAGGAGACCTGGGTTCAAATTCTGGCTCAGCCATGAGCTGACCTGAGCTGAGAAACTGGAAAAACCTCTCTTTAAATATCTCATTTACCTTGAAAGCTTATTAGGGTCGCTATAATTCAGCTCAGAGTTGAGGGGACAGAACATAAGAAAATATGCCACAGAAGTGCACTGTAAAATGAACAATTATTCCCTTTAAAATACCAGCCTTTTAATTCTGTCAGCTCTTCTCGGTTTATACAATCGTGCAGTTCTAGTAGTAAAAAACTGTAAGAGCACTATAGCTCGCTCAGGATACATTGCAAAATCCACGTTCATTCATTTTTCCATAAATAAGCATCCACAGCTGGAGGAATTAATATATACACTCACAGAGGCAATTTTCTCCACCGTTAGCAAACACTTTCAGGCCCATGAGTTTAAGAAATTAAAGCCGCGTAATTGTTCTCGTCAGTAACTGGGGGATTGATTGCCTTTTTGCAAAATCCTCCATCGCCCAGGGTAAACGTGAACGAACAGTAGGGGAGGCAACAACCGCCCCGCAAACGAGACCGCTAGACAGGCGGGCGCAAGCAAGGGGACACAGGATGCAAGCAAAGAGAAAGGGACTGACCCGGCGTAGCGGTTGTCGTAAAGGTAGCTCCGCACCGGCGCCGCCACAGTCTGCAGCCCCAGCAGCCAGAAAGGGATGAAAGCGGGAACTTTCTGGGGAAGTTTCATGGTCGCCGTGACCCCACCAGGGGGGTCGCCCGGGAGGAGGCGGAGGGGGCGCCGGCAGTTCGTGATCCCGCGCCGGGCTCTGCGGTGTGTCCAGAAGAGCCGCTCTGAGGGAAGGAGGTTTCGAAGCGGGAGGAGAGGAAGACTGGAGGCGGCGGGGGCTTTGCCCCCTTTTTTTCCCTGGGAAGAACGACGGGGGGGGGCGAGTGGGAGGGCGGGCTGCTTTTCTGTTCGAACACACAAACACACGTGTTCAATGAAAGTCGAAGCTTTTCGGGACGCCGTTTGAATTTTTTTGCGAAGCTGAGGGCGGGGAACGCCTCCTTTGGCCGAGCGGCAGCCCTCGCTTGCACCTCACCCCCGCCACCGCGCGTCCCCTCAGACTCCCGTATGGTGCAATTGGCGAACATGTCCGCGCAGAAGCGAGTGCCGCCCCCTCCCCGCTGTATTTAACTGGGGGTTGCCTAGTTAAGAAGGACTGACGCTTTGGAAAGCCTGCGGCTGAACGGCCCGGCATTGATTTATGATGCGGCGAGATAATGAGATCAGTGTGCCGGGTTTTTCTAGAGATTTTTTTTTGAGGGGGGGGGAGATTTCGGTTTCTCGTTGAGGACGTCGTTGCGCCCTTGCGCTGCCCCGCTGGCGGGATTTGGGTGAGGGGGTCGCCACCAGACGGTTTTGCTTCGCCGCGTCCCGCGTCCACTTTTGTCTGTTTTTCGTATTCGCAAAAAGACCCTGAAGGGCCGGGGGGGGGGGACACGAAATAGCTGCGCAATAACGTCTACACATGGTAGTAGTAGGAATCATTGGTCTGGGAGGTATAAAAACATCAGGATTGCGAGCCTGCCCAAGAAGCACCGATTTACTTTCTGTAGAAGCGAGGAAAGCAAGGGTGTGTGTGTGTTACGTGTTGCCCTGGCAGGCTGGCCGGGCGGAAGTCCCACCAAGGGCTGCGGTGTTTAACCCCCGAGAGAGTGTGTTCAGAGTGGCGGTCTCCGCAGCTGTCCTCGTCAAGCTGTTTCCCGGAGCCCTCCCGTCCCGGCTCACTCTCCTGATCTCCTAGTGCCCTGACGGTACTGGTAATGCTTTGTTACTTACAGTATTTGTCACACTTCTATACTGCCATTCCGTAGTGAGCTCAGTGTGGCCTAGGTGGCTCACCGCTGGGATTTATCCTCCCAACAACACTGTGAGGTAGGCTCAGGCTGGGAGAATAGGGCTGTCAAAGTCAGGCAGTGGGTTTTGTGTGAGTTTTGTGGCTTCTTGAGGATTTCCCTCTTATGCACTCCAGCAAGCTTCACATAAGCAGATGTGGTTGGCCTATTCCAGTGATGCCTGGAGAGCCAGCTGCCTTGCATTGCTCGGAGGACAGAGCTGTGTGCTCCACGGGTGATCAGAGCCGGTCTTCCCATTAGGCAGAATGAAACAGTTGCCTCCAGTGGTGGAGAAAATCATGTGGGTTAGCCTTGCTGGCTGCCTGTGCAGCTGGGAGGTGTCGAGATGGACAGTGGCAGCAGATAGTTTAGTCTTTTTAAAGCAGTGATGGAGGAAGAGAGATAAGAGCAGCAGCGGGCTTGTGGTTCACATTCTTCTGTCTCAAGAGGCATCCTGCACTGCCACTGCACGTGGCCTGTCTTACTCCTTCCTCTGGACAGCTTCACCGATGCATGGTAGATGGTGCTGTCCTGTCACATAGCTAGTGCTGAAGTAAGATTCCACTGACAGTCTCTTGGCTTTTGTAGACAGAGAGTGTATTCTCAGGCACTATCTTGACTTTTGTCTCAAGTAGCAAAATATTATAGGAAGCCGCCCCCCCATCTTTCACCATTGCCCCTAACTCTTCTCTAAGGAGCTCATGCATTGCTTGTGCCACACTTTGCCCAGGTCCCAGTTGAAATTCCTGCTGCCTCCAGGTATTTCTGGGAAAGAGTCTTGTCTAAAACCATGAAGACAAAAGCATGTTTCACAGGCTTTCTTTGGCTGGAAAACCTCACTCACAGGAGAGAATGGAGGTAACAAAGAAGAAGACAGACGATGGGCAATGGGAAAGACCCTAGAGATGTAGGAATTGGGGCAACGAGACAACACACACACACACAAACACACTTCCACTGTCATGCTAATTTGGAGATTGGTAACTGTTGGCCTCAGAGCCGATCCTGAGCCCCTTTGGGTGCTGTCCAACTCCATCAAATCCCCAGTTCTCCTTCCTCTCCTCTCCGTCTCCCTCTCCATGCTTTGAGGGGCCCAAAAGAAGATAAGAGAGAGGCGGGGATCTTAAGAATGTATTATCTCTCTAGCCAATAAAATATCATTTTACCAGCTAAACTGTGTTTTATTTCTAAATTTTAAGATCAACTTGGGTAGCTCGGTGAACTAGATATTGTTGGGAGTTCAGTTACCTACTGTGCCTCCTGGGAGTAGAGCTACCCTGTGTAGCCTTGACCAAGCTGCACAGTCCAAGGGCATGCTTAGAAGGAAATGAGAAACCATTTTTGAGTGATCTGTATCAAGAAAATCCTAGAAAGGGCTGCCATAAACCACACAGTGATTATCAAGTTCATTTTGGAGCTGATTTGACCAAGTGCTTATACAGTATGTGTGTTTTGCAGTAGACCTGGAACTTTGTCAAACACCACCCTGCTTTTGTCCCTGAGATCCCGGTAATCTGCCTTCACTAATTCATCACCTCTGATCCCTTGTAGATCAGCCCCTTGGCTGCACCACGGTGGGCAGGACTTTGGGTTGGCCACTGTAACAGCAGAAACATTTGAGGAACGGTATTGCATCCCTTTGTCTCTAGAAAAAGTGAAATGCCAAGAGTGAGCAGGGGAAGAAGGACATATAAATGATTTAAAACAAAACAAAACCTTCCTCACTCGTGTACTGTTTTTCTGTTCCAGGTAGGTACCAGCATAACTGGGCTGGCAATAGTATGAGCCTACCATCCTGCGTCTCAAATGTGTGGATTCTAAATGTATCAATATGGAGCTAGTCTGCATCTTTGATTAGATCAGATGTTTTACTATTTACATCTGCAGAACTAATTCACAGATGTGGATCTTTGATTTCTGTCCTCTCTAGAGTTGTTAAAAATAGAGGTTCACAAATTACAGGAAAATGAAAGCTTTGCCATCAGTCTGACCTGTTGCTTTCTCTTGACATTTGACAGTTTAATTGGCAGTGCCTCATGTGGTGGGAGCCTGTGTGCCGGCAGGGTTAATCCTGTATAGCACATGCTGAAGCTTCACAAAGCCTTTGTAGAGAAACAGTAATCATAAATAGCTGGCGGCATCTGGTCAACAAAAGGGGATGCTTTCCATCAACAAAAGGATTTGGCATCTTGGCATTCTGCAGTTAACAAACAGTATAATCTGTGTGGCAAAGGCACCAATAAGCCACCAAAGGTTATTCTAATTCTGTAGGCAGGTCCTCAAAGAGTCTCCGAAAAGAGTTCCTGAAGTCAGAGGAATGACTTGTGTGCGTTTTATTTTTCAGCCAGGAAAGATCAAACTGCATACTTGTGTTTGAATAGTACAAAGAGTACATCAGTTCCTGTTTTCCAAGTGCTGCAAAAAGCAACCCAGTCGCAGCATAAGTAAAGGCCTTCCACATACTGTACTAGTCATGTTAGTTGCCCTTAGATGAATTTGAGCAGGTGTGGCCCAAATTCACAAGACAAAAAGGCTACTTGGTTGTCTCTGAGAAGTTGCTCCAGGTTTTGTTTCCAGGAACTGCCAAAGGACTGCTTGTGTAAATGCTCCAAGCAATTCAGCGCCAGATTTTTACATGCCATGAAATCAGCAGGCAAATGGATAGTTAATTTGGACTGGAACCTGAGAGACACACATTTGGCTAAAGGGAATAATCACACAAAAAGGATGCAACTATGCAATTGCAAAAAGGATGCGACTATGCAATTGTACCTATGCAACTGGGGTCACGAAGAGTTGGACACGACTAAACAACAGCAACATGCAATTGCTTATTGATTCCTGGGAAAGGTCACAGATGGGCTCTCTTCCACACTCATCATCCATTTATCTGCATATCCATATTCACTTTACTGAATTTAATTTACTGGGCTTTTGTCAGTGGCCAGCATCGTATTAGGATTTTACTCCAGAGTAAGTAAAACTACATAAATTATGGTTGTAAATTGCAGCTAATTAACAAGGCTCTGGTTGTGCACCTAGTTGTGCTGTACTCCCATCACATGAGAGATGAGTGATCAGACAGCCAATGTGCATCACCTTAATTAGTTGCAATTTGTTGCCACAGTTACAGGTACAATACAGTGGACCCTCGACGGCTCCACTTACAGGACTTTTCAAGTTACAGACTTCTCTGGCCGCAAAATTTAGGTTTGACTTGCAGCCGGAGAATTGACCTACAGACCGGAAAAAAACTCCCCCAAATGGAACAAAAACGGCTGGTTATGGATTGATCGGTTTTCAATGCATTGTAGGTCAATAGAGCCTCGACCTACAGACTTTTCGACCTGCACCCACTGTTCCAATATGGATTAATTCCATAAGTTGAGGGTCCACTGTATGAATTTACTATAGAGTAAAATCCCAATAGCATCCTGGCCAGGTTGTTTAACTTGTTACTATTAAATTGGGCTGTGAAGAGGTTTCCATAATAGCCATCAGCATCCTTGGGGAGGGAATGCTTTCCTTTGTGTCTTGTATCTGTTCCCTGAAAAATTCCAGGAGGGAAATGATAACCCTTGTTTATTCCATTGCATCTTCATTTGCTATCTATTTTTCATGGTTCGGTGGATCCCAGTTTTTGTGTTTTTCTGTTCTTCTTCACATATTCCGTGTCCATGTACCTAAATATACGTTCTTCTGTTCAGGTTTTGGGCGGGAGTCATTTACAATATTGCCTTTGCCATATTGAGACTGATCTGTAAAACATACTTTCTAAACTAGACCTTGAAAGAAAAGAACCAAAATCTGCATGTGAAGTATACTCCTTTTGTCTGTTCATCTGAAACTTTCCCAAATGTTTTAAACATGGGTAGTTTGATAATTGGGAGTTCAAATGGCCAGACATTGCTCTAAGCCGAGGGCAAACCCAGTACACATTACAGTCAGCAACATGTTGAAACATTTATCAT